TAAACCCCTCCCTTCCTTGCCAAACTACACATTTTGTAGTATCTTTCTTCTCTACTTGCTACTATTTCTCACCATAAATCTGGTAAGTACACTAAGCAATAACCATGCCACAGCCTGTCTTGAAATTTCCTTCACAAAACAATGTAGTCCATCACTTTTGTTTTGGGGGTTTGTTTCGGTTTTTGACAGGGTTTCCCTGTAGCCCCAGCTGACCTGAAACTCTTATGTAGAGCAGGCAGGCTTTGATCTCAGAGAGATTCACCTGCCTCTGTGTCCTAAGTGCTGGAATTAAAGGCATGCACCACCACACCCAGCTAGCCCAGTACTTTTGAATTCCAAATTCATTCAAATTTTCAGGACATGGGCACAATGCAGGCAAATTCTTTGCCAGAATATAACATGAATTTCCTCTAGCCTAGTTCCCAATAGAATTGTTGTTCATCTCTACAACCTCATGAGTTGAGCCTCCACTGTTCACATTTCTCTAAGCATTCTGGTCTTCCAAACTCCCATTAAAGTGGCCCATTAAGTTCTGCTTCAAGCACTGTAGGGCTTAATCCTCCTGCAAATAATTGGTTCTACTGGCCTACAGCCCACATTCTGTTATAGCAACAGAAATATAAGGTAACTGGACACCTTGCATCCACAGTTAGAAGCTGAGAGAGATGAATGTTGGTGTCATGCTTTCCCCTGTGTTCCTTCTTATTCAATTGGGACCCTAACCCATGGGTTGGTGATGCCTACATTCAGGATAGATCCTTCCTCAGTTAAATCTCTCTGTAAACACCCTCACAGACATGTCGCGTGTTTCCATGGTGATTCTAAATCTAGTCAAGATGACAGTGAAGATTAACCATCACAACAGTCAATGAATTAGAACCACTTTTCCGAAGGCAGTGTTTTCACTGTGGAAGTTTTTATTTTGCCATTAATAGGATTAGTAGAATGTGGTTATGAAAAATAACTTGACTAAAAGGGAATATGCTTAATAACTAGACAAGCATTTGATTTGGTGTCATTTTAAAAGACAACTCAAGATGTATCAAAATTGAATATAAGATCTGAAATGAATGAAACTCCTACAAGCAAACACTGGGGGAAAAATCTTCTTGAGATTGGCCTTGGCAATGACTTTTTTTACTTGACACCCCCAGCAGTAAAAGCAAAATAAAACACACAGGACCACATCAATCTACAACATTTCTGCACAGCAAAGAGAACAATCAACTAAACTAAAAGATAACCTACAGGATAACCTACAGGTAGAAAATAGTTTCAACCATGTACTGCCAAGTGGCCTTTGTCTCTGTCCACTGTATGATGACATTCCTTTAAGGTCTTACTGCTTAGTAATGTTGTAGCTATTTTATTTTGTATAAGCATACCCCATAGCTGTATCTGATGAGGGGTTACTATCCAAAATATATAGTGAACTCACATAACTCAGTAATATAAGACAAAAAATGGGCAAAAGACCTCAATAACCTTTTTTCCAAAAAAAAAGACATACAAATAACCAGCAAGTATATAAAACATTGTTCAGTATCAAATCTTCAGAGAAATGCAAATTTCACCTTCTACTAAAATGACTATTATTAAAAAGAGGGGGTAGGTAACAAATGATATAAGGAACACTTGTACCCTATTGGTGCAATGTTAACTGGTATAGTTTTCATGGGAGACAGCATAGAGGTTCCTTTAAACTTAAAGCTGTAATATGATCCAGCAATCCCATTTCTGGGCATATATCCAAAGAAACTGAATAAAATCTCAAAGCAATATCTTCAATCTCACATTCATTACATCACAGTGGCCAACATAAGGAAACATCCTAAGTGCTCATCACTAGATAAAGAAATAAAGAGGATGTGGTATACATGTACAATGGAATATTATTCAGCCTTTTACAGTAAAAAATTATTCTGCCATTGGAAGCAACAGGGATAAACCTGAAAGACATTATCCTGAGTAAGCCTTATACAGAAAGACACAAATACTGTATGACAGTACTTCTGGGTCGAAGCTGAAGAAAATTAAATAAGTTGGGGCTGGAGAGATAACACAGTGGCAAAAAGCACTGGCTGTGCTTGCAGAGGACCCAGGTTCAGTTCCTAGCACCTACATGATGGCTAACAACAATCCATAAGCTCCAGTTCCAGGAGATCCAAGGCCCTCTTCTGACCTCCTTGGGTGTCGCATGCACATGGTGCCCTTACATCTGTGCATTCAAACTACACATGCACATAAAAAAATAAAAATAAATTTAAAATATCAACTTTAAGAACAAAAGTAAAGAACTTAATAGAAGCAGAGAGTAGAGTGGTAGTTACCAGGACCTGGGGGTGATGGGCAAAGCAACATACTGGACAAAAGGAATAAAGTTTTCAGCTAAAAGATTAGATTTAGATTTAGAGGCGATATACAGCATGGTGACCACAAAAAAAAAAAAA